TGGATCATTGGATGACATGAAGAGTATATTGGGCTACTCATTCTCACTTGGATCCAGAATATTCTCATCGGCATCAAAGAATCAAGAAAATGTGGCACAATCATCAGCAGAAGCGGATTATATGACAGCGGCAACAATTCCATTCAAGCTATATGTCTATGACGAATACTAGCAGATATGGGCGAGGGAAAAACTAAGCCGACGATAACCTATTGCGACAACAGGTCTACAATAGCAATGGCGAAGAATCCGGTCAACACAGCCGGATTAAGCCCACATAGCCATCAAGTATCATTTCCTAAGAGAAACAGACGCTAACAAAGAAATTTCAGCGAACTACTACCCGACTGAAGAACCATATGCAGATATTTTCATGAAGTTACGACCACGACCGAAGTTTGAAGAACTACACACGATGCTAGGTATTTTCAAAATTAGTATTAAAGAGGAGTGTTAAAATTAATTCTCATTTTTGAATATTCAAGAAACACTAGTTTTGTAATACAGTATCTCGAATAATATATATTATTCAAGGGTAGCTAGATACTTCTAGATATAAAAGAATATTCAAGAAATGCTAGCATTGTAAAGATACCTCGAGAGAGAGACTTATCTAGCAATTATCTAGAGTTATTCATGGAGCCTATAAATAGGTAATGAGGCATTATAAACTATGAATTAAATCAACAAAAAACTAACAAAAACCTTCTCCTTTAACTAAGTTTCATTGTCCCTTCTCTCCAAACAAAGCAAACTATTTCCAAATAACTATCCAAACATTCCCTAAACTAACTTGAATTATAGTGTGTATTTTATTCTATCAGAGCTTCTCCAGCCCTCTTTATATTTTTTAAATTTACACAATATAACCAAACACATTAATGATGGCTTTCAATATGAATTTTATTCCGAATTGTTTAGGAGCAATTAAGATGAGACTAACGAAATGCTAGGGTTTGCATGCGATTTGGAATTCTTCGTCGTTTCTTGTTCTACAAGGCGCCAGTATGACATCACCATGGAATTGGTTTACTTGAAAAAAATGCTCAGTACCGAGACTATTCTGGTGGCAATGGTTCAACGTCATTATCGATTTGCCTTCAAGCTATGTGATGAAAGTGGTGAATTGTTATCTTTTGGCACTATTCTGGATGAATGTTTACGTCTTGATCTTGATTTTACGTTTTGTTCTTTTAAATTTGTTAAGCATTCGTGCAATAAATTCACCCAAGCGATTGCGCAATATTACTGTAACGACTTTCTAGAGGGTTCTGAACCCCCTTTTTCTTTGGTGTCTATCGCCTAATAACATTGCTTTGTTCTAAAACTTTATTTTTAACTAATTGATTTTGATTTTGTATAACTTTGAGTTTGAGTTTGAGTTTTTTGTTTCCATAATATTGATCAAAGATCCACTCCGACCTTTTGATTTTGGTTCACAGAACAATTACGATCTTTCATTTTCCTTCCTTCCAAAGAAACATGTAAACACTTCAGAATAGAATTTTTTTAAGTACACTTACGTTGTCCATTACCTATCGTTGGGGTGGAAATAATAATGAAATATGAAACTAAATGTAAGTAAAAATTATTGTGTGGAAGCATTGTACAATGGCATTTACTGCACATAACTGACATGTGAAATATTAAGTATACTATCAGCGTGTCTCATATGGTTTTAGATAAAGTTAAGGTGCCCAGTTTTATAAGATATCTTATATTTACACAACACCCATCAAATTTTGATGCTTACAATTGTTGCCATCAATAAATATGCATTTATTAGTGATCAAGATAGTGTATAAATGATTAAGCTTGATAATATCATGTTCGAAATTTCAGGCATGGGAGTGGGTGGGTAGGAGAAATGCGAGCACTAATTAGCATAGCATTCATACCGTAGATGCGAAATAATGTTATACAATAGCCTTAATTTACGATTTGAATGAGAGCGAGGGATGTGTTGTAGTTTGGAATTTTGTAGATAATGAAAATGAAGCGGAGTTGGGATTGGTAGAGTTCTACTACATCAATTACGATCGATGCAAATATGCTCGGAATGCTTATTATGTACGGTTCCACCCCTCTCCATTACGCACGCCTAAATGGCGTGTATTTTCCAGAAACATACCACCCATACACTGGCCAGTTTACGCGAAAAGCAAAAATCCCGTCGAATGTCCCTAAAGTATGGGTTAATGACAATATAACGGATACAACTTTTGACGAGGTTAAAGAGGCGATCGATAGTGGTTATCCGGTCATGGGATATATTTATTTATATCCGGATTTGGAAAACTTCAATCGAAAGAGAATTTATCTATACTCTATACTACTTATAAACATGGGAATGATAGGGTGGTTTCTTCAATTTTTCGGTTTTCCAAAAATATCCTCCAAAACAACCAATAGTTAAAATACACGTCAATGAAAAAAACCTTCAACATCATAATAATAATAATAATAATAATAATAATAATAATAATAATAATAATAATAATAATAATAATAATAATAATAATAATAATAATAATAATAATAATAATAATAATAATAATAATAATAATAATAATAATAATAATAATAATAATAATAATAATAATAATAATAATAATAATAATAATAATAATAATAATAATAATAATAATAATAATAATAATAATAATATTAATAATATTAATAATAATAATAATAATAATAATAATAATAATAATAATAATAATAATAATAATAATAATATTAATAATAATAATATTAATAATAATAATAATAATATAATAATAATAATAATAATAATAATAATAATAATAATAATAATAATAATAATAATAATAATAATAATAATAATAATAATAATAATAATAATAATAATAATAATAATAATAATAATAATAATAATAATAATAATAATAATAATAATAATAATAATAATAATAATAATAATAATTATTATTATTCGAGTATGCCTTGTGAAGTAGGGAACTGGTTGGCATTGTCTACTCCGAAATCTGCCATTGATGAATCGAGTAGTGGTTGAACTTTTTTTTTTTTGTTTGTATTATGAAAACTAATATATTTTTTTGGCATGCTAAAGAAAGTTTTCTTGAGAGGTTATAAGGCCATTAGGCTCTTCCTCCAAGAAATTTATGAGTGGATTTCTCTGATCTTGAACATGTTTAGATCACATATTTCTGAAATTAGGAGATGTTATATGTATTTATGTTTTTACTTGGACAAAATTTAACTATGGAGTCTTGAATATTCTATATAAAATAAAATAAAAATGAAGCATTATGAGTGTGGTACCAATGATTAGTTCTCAAAGTTCTTGTCGATTATTAAATTTGATATTAAATGTGCTAATTAAATTTGCCATGACCTTCACAGAGATATTTTTGTTTCAAGTTCGTTTGACAAAAGTAGTGCATGAGTTGACGAGGCAACCTGTCAAAGGTATAAAACTACATGGTGGTGGGATGCGCTTTGGAGAAATGGAATGAGACTCCCTTCTAGCTCACGGAGCAACAAATAAGTTACACGATAAGTTACACATAAGCTCCGATCAACACATTGCTGATGTGTGCTCTCTCTGTAGTAAAATCTTGTCTACAATGCTCATCCAATCGAACACAAGAGAGCTATGTGATATGATCGTTAGGGTTCCGCCAAGTGCCACATCCCCTACTTCCAAGAAGGTTACACGTGTAGTCTGCCAAACTAGTAAACAAATGGAGATTGTTTCCATGTCTTATGTCTTCATATATTTAGCGGCATAATTGACATGCATAAACGCTTAAATGACTTTCGAAGTGAAAGCAGTAGCTTAATATTTGAAGTTTAAAGTTACAGGACAACAATAGTTGAAAGTTTAACTACAAAGCAAAGGAGTAAAAGCGTTAAAGAGTAGGCTTTCGATTCACTTACTAGTTGGTCTCCATATTTGAAACCTTTTTTTGGGACATTCCCTCACATTTAGATGCTCATAATTAGATGTCTGACATCTATAAGACTGTAATATTTGTTTTGGGGAATTATTAAAGAGTATTATTGTTGAAACGTAATCAATTTAAATATGTTTTCATTTTAGAATTAATCTAAATCATAAATGTTTGTAGGGTAAATTATACCCACACCCCTGAGGTATGCTAAAATAACTTTAAGGTCCTTGTGGTATCTGTAATTACAATCACCCTCCTGAAACATTGTAGAAACTCTAATGAGATAATGCATTGGGTACGTTATTCCGATAGGTTCTAACGAACTATTAGTTTCAAGAAGTGGTGGCAATACAAGAAAAACTACTTTACGTGAGGCAAAAATTCGTCACAAAATGTTCGATTTTCGTCCCTAAAGCTTTTGGTAACGACTCCGTTTGTTACCTTTGTTTGTCCTCTAAAGCCCGACGCTAAAAGTTTAGGTAACGAACATAGATTGTCGTTACAAATGTATTCGTGACAAATGATATTGGCGTTACCATTGAGTATTTATAGTGACAAATGTGTTCTGTTCGTTACCAATAGTTATTTTTTTAAAACCATTGAATATATGAATGTTAATATAAGTTCGTCACCAATACTTCTGATGACAAATGCTTATCCTTACCAATACTTATTATATTTTTTTCATAATATTTTTATTTAAAAAGAATCATTCTTAAAACAAAATTTATAATCAATAAAACAAAGACCTTTATACAGAAAAAAGAACTATTGTATCCACAATGAAAACTAATAGTACCATCCATCTACACAGATATTATAACTAACTTTCATACTTCAAAAATAAAACGATACATGTTATATCGTATTCAAAAGATAATTGTCAATGATAATCTATGATCAAAATATAAGTTCACCCTAACAGTTGGATCATGCTGTATCATCCACCATTGTATTAAAAAATCTGCAAACATAGCATCAGTTTATATTTAGTAAGGTTAGAATAAAACTAATAAGAACGTATTTTACTATAAATGTAATAAATATGTAAAAATAAGTCTGGCTTATAAAACAACATGCTTGTAACAACTCATTCACATCAACACATAGAATGATACAAAGAAGATTCTAGCTATCAACTTCTTCCTCAAAATTAGTTTATTTACATTATCTCCACGCTTACACATATATCATTCATAATTAATATAACTGCTTTTAACGAGTATTTTATCCATCAGATTCTCAATCAAATATAAGTATTGAAATAGTGCGAAATAAAGTAGAAGTCTTGTAAAACTTACACATTTTTTATGGGTTGCTCGAAGTATTTTGTTGCATAAAAAGCAGTAGCATTTTCTTTAACTCATTTTGCCCTTCCTTTAGACTTGACATCTCTTCATCTTGTTTTTTGCACCGATCATCGTAATTCTGAATTATTGCTTCTTGGTTCAGAATCATTTCTTTTTGAGAATTAATGCAAGAAACAACATTTCTTAGTTCATCTTCAGTACCACTCAACTTCTCTTTAAGTGCCTCAAGCTGTGAAGACTCACATGTTGACCTTTTCGTACATTTAGAAGGCACAAATCCATATCCCATGCCCTTTTCATATCCAGATCGTTGGCCGAGTACTTTCTTTACAATTTCTCTCTCGGAAGTCAGGCCTTCCCTGTCTTCAATAGATTCGTTCCTTAAATTTTCCATTTCGATCTATCAATATTCAGAAAGTGAAGTTCAGAAGTTGATGTTAAACATATAGATATTCAAAAATTAACATTTTTATTTTATATAATTGATCATACATGTTTTCTTGCAGCTTTGTCATTCACAAAAGTAACATTTTTCATATGAGTTCTTGCGAAGTTATCCACATAGCTCTGATTTTCCTTTAAAAGAGAAAAATGCAATAATTATGACAAAATATTATCACAGTAAATACATTAACAGATGATTTAACGAAATCCAATAATTACATTACCATTTGCAATAGTCATGTGTGAAATGATTTTGAACCTGAGGTATGAGTATATGGTAGGCATTTTCTATTGTTAACATTAGTTGCAGATCTTTTCTGCTCTTGCAATAAAAAATAAAAGTTAGGACCTTAAAATTACAATAATTAAAATGACTATCAAATCTGAAATCAAGTGTAGTACCTTGAATTTATCACTTTCATAGTAATTGCATAGAACACGCCATTTTTGAAGTGATATCCAGTCAAATGGGCTACGAGCCCTAGGATCCTCTCCTGGTTTAACCATTCTTTTGTGTGATGCTGACAATCGACCCTTCCAATGTGTATAACTTCTTTAAAACATCTCTTCCATATACATCTTGACTACCGGATTAGTCCACCATTCCTTGATAATAAACCATGTCTAAATCGAAATAAAAATAAGTAGAAAATCTTTATTTAAGTAATTAACAATTAAGACGCGATAAGAGAAAAATATCACCATTGTACTTACATCTAATCCAGCATAAATCGGTAGTTTTTCGTCTTCAGGTATTTCATTCCAGTGACTTTTACAATCAAGATCAGGGTTGTGCCTTATAACAATTCCAATTGCAGTTGCTAAATGATTAGCGAATTGGCGAGGTTTCTTAAAACCTTCAAGAAACTCAATCTCCAATAGTTGTCCTCTCTAACAAACCACATAGTAAACAATACCAGTAGATGATGAAGTATATATATCAAAATAATAGTTAAAAGAACACTGTTAAACCCAATTAGATATGAATCTCTCCATATCAAATAAATGCATAGATATTCCTCTTCAAATCAGTTTTATATACTATTTTTGCTTAAATTATGTTGTTCAATTAGTATTTGTAAATATATTATTTCTTTCTTCTATAAAACTGAAGTAAAAAAAAATCCCTATCAACAAGACAAATATAAGCACTTTTTACACAAAAATAAATTGTACTTAAAATACAGAGTATTACCTGGAGAGTGAGTCGAAGTAATAAACCCCTTGAGACAACCCACATAAAATTACAAAAAGAGGGAAACATGCACATAGATAGAACAAAAAAAAAAAAAAAAAAAAAAAAAAGACTCATAGTTAAAGAAGAGGGAACTCGATTTTTACCTAAAATCGTATGAAGGATAAAAGGGTTCTATAATTTCCAGAACCTATCTGCCGATGAGGAAGAGAAACCCCTTTTAGTTGTAAATCATAAGCTAAATAATAGAAACATGTATGAAGATGAAAAGCTCGATGTTACAGGATGTATTGTCTATTGGAAGGAGAAATTTTGGCTCTGGAAAGGAGTTCTACATATCCTAGAAAACCCATCTGATTGAGAGGAAGAGAAGATTAATCAAAATTTTGGGGAGGGAAATGAAAAAAAAAAAGGGCGCTGCTATTTACCGCCTAGTGGAAGATTATTTTTCATATTCTTGGGCTATTTTCCTCTAATTAATATTTAATCTAAAAAATAAGCATAGTAATGTTTATTTTATATATACAAAATAATTCTGGTGCAATTATGTTTTATTAACAATTAATTGATGAGCAGAAATTTTAAGAAAATTTTAGAGAAAAATTCTATATATACAAAATTAAGTCAATTGATTTGTTAATTTCTGAAATTAAGATTTTGGTTAAAATAATCACTTAAAAATAAAAAAATTCTGAAATTAAGTCAATTGATTTGTTAATTTCTGAAGTTAAGATTTTTAAGAAAATTTTAGAGAAAAATTCTATACAAAATTAAGTCAATTGATTTGTTGATTTCTGAAATAAAGATTTTGGTTAAAATAATCACTTACTTAAAATAATCACTTACTTAAAATAATCACTTAATTAAAATAATACATAAAAGTAAAAAAGAATATCACTAAAATAAAAACAAATCCAACATGAAAAGAAATAAACGAGTCAATAGTGAGTGCAATTCCAACATGTATTTTTATATCTTTGTATATTTGAATAATTAGCGAATATGGCTTGCAATTCCATTAACTTATTGTAACAAGATTCACATATGTCGCCAAAGAATTGTTTAAATGATGGGGATATAATCATGTTTACTTTTTTTATAGTATTATGAATCCTTCGCTAAGTGATTATTAGATATAAATGATGGTAGATAGAATCATATTCATATATATATATATATATATATATATATATATATATATATATATATATATATATATATATATATATATATATACTAGTAAGTAGCACGTGCTACGTATGTGATTTACGATTTTAGTCAATAGGGTATATGAGATGCTATACCTGGTGAAGCATATCGAGTAATTTTACACTATAAATTTGTACAAATAACCACTTTGAAATGTTGTAGACTGCTATTTTTTTTTATCTAATACCCCTCTATTCCTTTTTAATTGTCACATTTTAGCTTTGCAGTATTAAGACTCATAATAAATGAGACTTGATATTGAAAAAAAAAACATTAAAATGACTAAAATGAACTTATCATTTAATGATGTGATAAGAGAGACTTAATATTTGATATAGTTGAATTAAAAAAAGTAAAGCGAAAAAAATGTATTTAATGTTGTATTGGAAATCTCAATCTCAAGTGAGAGATAATGTAAAACAAAAATATTTCTCAAAAGTGACCGTTATTGTGGAACGGAGGAGTGTTAAACATCATAGAATCTTTTTCAATTGTATATCTCTAGTTCTCTTCTTTATAATCTAAATTAGTATTTTTTTTTTCTCTTTTTCCTGAAATTCTTAAAAATATAATCATTGCAAATTTAAGATAAATGCATATTACAACTAAATTATGAGTATTGCATTAGAAAATTCATGAATAAGTTATGATAAAGAAGCCTGCGGCTATATGCAAGACTAATTTCACTTGTGCAAGACTAATATACAATTTTCAATTTATATATACTATAATACCTTTACTTGTTAAAAAAATTAAAAATTCCAAATGTGCAATACCAAAAACTCTAAAACACAAAAAACCCTATCACAAAACCACAAGACCAATTCTCATCTTCTCCATCTTCTAAAACCCACAAAACCTTTCTCCTTCCTCCTCCATAAACCCAAAAAACATAAACATTCAAAATCATCAAAACATAACAAATCTTACAAAGATGGCAAGTATGGAGTCATAAGACATCAAAATAGAAGATTCTAAGGTGGAAGAACCCAAGAAGGTATCAATTTATGTGTTTTTTTAGCTAGAATATCGTTTTTTCAAAAAAAATCCTGCGCAGACGCAGTCGACATGTACAGGTCGAATTTTATAGGTAAAAATCGACATTGATATGTCAATTTTGGAGTACAAAATTGACTCCATAGTGTCGAAATTTGACTGTTAGCAAATTAGTCCAAATATACTAAATTTCGACATTAAGGTGTCGAATTTATGGACATATATTCGACACCTTAATGTCGAAATTTAGTTGTTTCATATTTTTTTATTAAAAAAAATCCCGCGCAGACGCGGTCGACATGTACATGTCGAATTTTATAGGTAAAAATAGAATTTTAGTTGATTCATATTTAACTGGGTTTTTTTTTAATTTCACGTTTTCTTTGTTTTCTTCTTTTTGTTTCATTATTTGTTATTTGGTCTCGCATAAGCAAACAAAAGCCAATTTAATTTATGTAAATATATTTGTCATTTCATCTTAATAAAATGATTTTTTTTTAAATCTTTCTTTAATTGGGTCTTGCACAAGTGGAATTAGTATTGCATATAGACGTATAAAGAAAATATGAATAAGAATGGACATACAAGGTGACCTAACAACACACGCATGCCGCGGAAGGGATTTAAACCCACAACCTCTCACCTAAGTCAAGTTATTATGTTTTTAGTTTTTTTTTTTTAAATTGTTATAAATATAATAATTTATTTGGAAATGAGAGATCGATAGGTATTAGAAATAAAAAATTATGTCATATGGCATTAGACATATAGGCAAAATGCATAAAAATCTCTGGATTTCTATACTAATATAAATATTTAAAATGAATTTGGAATATTAAGAGTCATCTACTCATACTACAAGGAAAGGAAGTTAAACCTTTATAATTATAAATATATATTATAAACTGGAAAATTAACCCGTCCATCGAATCATGAATAGTAAGCATTAATGCTTATTATTAATACTTCAATAACTTAATGTTAAGCAAATTACTTAACTATCCTTGCAGCGTTTTATATGTTGAAATTCATATAAGGATATTTTAGTCCACAACTAAAATAGAAGAAACCACTTCTACTATTCATACTTTTATAGATAAAAAGTATAGTATAGATAGATATATAAGGGTAAGTACAATTAACATCTCTAGACTATAGGCTCCTACCCAATATGCCCCATCAATTATAATTGGCAAACTTTGTACACTTTAATAACTCAGTCAATGTTAATAACTGACAAAAAAATTAACTACGTTAGTTTTTCTATTGAAAACTTAAACTTGGGAAAAAAAGAAAAAAAAAAAACACACCTGGGTTCTTTCTCTCTCTCTCTGTGCCTCAACACTTAGAAACAATACAATATTCTTGTCTCTCTTAACATATCACCTCCAGAAAAAGAAACCCCTCTCATTTCACTTTCTCTTACAAGTTCAACTCATCACCTGAAGGAAAAAAAACTTTCATTTCACTCATTCCTCCTTGGTAATTTGGTCGCATTCCTGAAGAATTTCGTAAAGGCCTGATCTGTTGAAGTAATCCGACATTTGGAAGAAAGGCCCGAAATTTTTTGATAGATTTTGAGGTCAATTAAAGGCATGCTACGTTTGAATTAATTAGTAATGTGGGTGTAGGGTTTAGAGAAATATGTTAGAGGGAGAAGATGGGTTTTGATTTGGGGCCGAAAACAATGAAAGATGGTTTGAATTTGAATTTGAGGATTTTGAATTTGCGGGGGTTTTTAATGAAATTAGGAGTATTCACTGCATTAGGATTTAAATTTAGGGGTTTTAATAGAATTAGGATTTTTTTTCAAAAACAAAAAAAATTATGTAGAATTGAATTAGAGTTTTTTTTCCAGGATTTTCTTGTAGAATTAAATTGAATTTGGGGCTTTTAATTGAATTCGGGATTCCTTCTAGGATTGTCTTGCTTTAGCTCAGTTCTCTCAGTAATTGATTTGTTTTTGTTTGTTATAATTGTAGATATGTTTACTATTAGTTTACATTACGGTAGACTGTTTAAGGAATGGGGTTATCAATATGTTGGGGGTCATATTAATTGAATGATAGGTATAGACCATACTGTAATGTC